ACAGGGAGAGCAAAAAAAAGAAAAAAAATGACACTTAATATTAGCATTTGTATGGACTTGAAGTAGAACAAATTCAAAGTTTCAATTTTTGGTGAAGCAAGAGAACCATCTTAACCAACTAATAATAAACCTTGACAAATTACAACCACAGTGACACTAAGTAGAATCACTTTATTTCTCTCATAAAGGGATAAGTTAAATTGAATTATGGGCAAAGAAAGAATAAACAAAGAATACTTTACAAAGCAAAACAAAACAAAAAGCTGAAGTGTGTTCTTACAAACTCTTAAGGTCATGAAAGGCTAAGACAGAGGAGGAACTGCCACTAGGGAAAAAAAGTAAAGAAATAAAAAACAAATGCAATGAGATTCCAGATTATATATTAAACCAGGAAACAAAAAAATCTATGAAGAAATTATTGGAGCTGGGCACAGAGGCATATTCAAACAATATATAAGAAAATTTTGAGCTGGGCATGGTGGCACATACCTTTAATTCCAGCACTTGGGAGGCAAAGGCAGAGGCAGGCGGATCTCTATGAGTTCAAGGCCATCCTGGTCTACATAGCGAGTTCCAGGCTAGCAGGGGCTACAGGGAGGCCCTGCCTCAAAAAGACCAAAAAAAAAAAAAAAAAAAAAAAAAAAAAAAAAATAAAAACACAAAAAAAAAACTAGATAGAATATAAATGTTAAATACCCTAAGTTTTATAACATTGTTACATTAAAAAAACCATTTTCAGAAGATACATGCTACAGTATTTAAAGGCTTTGATATTGGCACATTAATCTCAAATGTTTAGCATGGTATTTGTTTGCAGCCTGTTCACAGAGAAAAGAAGACAATGAGAAAAATGGCATTTGTGATTCTAAGTAAGTAGTGATTTCACTATTCTAATCTTAAATTTTTCTTAAGATCTCAAACTTTTTAAAAAATTAAGTAGAAAGATGAGATATTTCAGCACATCCAGACAACTTTGAAAAAGATAGTGAGGGATTTCAGAATATATTACCTCAGTCCTTTCAGCAAGAGGACGGTCAGAATAGTGTAATGAATCTTTGGGCCGAGATTCTATAATGCAAGGTCTGTCTCCAGCACGTTCATCTTTCTGTATGCTTTCATCAGGTACAAGATATATGTTCTCCTTATCGCTGTCATCCTTTGACCGTAAGGTTTCTGTTACTAATGAGACTTTTGGCATCACTGCTGTGGATCGAGAACGAACTGGCCTTCCTCTCTGAACAGTCTCCCATCCTTCAGCATCTTTCCGTTCTATGCAGTTAAGAGGGGAAAATAAGTCAGGATTTCTCTAACTGATAAAAACACTGAGAAACCTACAACATAGAAATGTTTCCCATTTAGTTCCCATTACATAAAACTAACATACAACTATGACATTAAATATTTTTCAAGATGTATTTACAGATTTTTCAAAATATTTTTATCTATTATTTTTATTTTAAATGTATGAGTGTATTGCCTGCATGTATGTACATGCATCCATGTTGTGCAATGCACACAGAGGTCAAAAGAGGGCATATCAGATCCCCTGGAACTGGAATTACAGACAGTTGTTATCCATCATGTGTGTGCTGGGAACTGAACCCGAGTCCTCTGCAAGAGCAGACAGTGCTCTTAACCACTGAGCCATTCTTCGGCTCCTATAAATCTTAATACATATGTACATGCATAATTGTCCCTATTTACAAATGACAAACCAAGATTCAGATTAAGGTTAACCTAAGACCATACAGTTGATAAGTAATCACAAACGTTTAAGTAGTATATACTATGTACAAGCATTGTTCCAAGTACTTTATGCATAATCTTCACAGCCCTTCATGCTGAATATTATCTAGATTTTATCAATCACAAAATGATACAAAGAATGTTAAACACTTCGCAAGATCATGCACCCAGTAAAGGTAGAGCCAGTGTGCAAGCTCTGGAGTCCACACTCCTAATGGCTAAATGAGAGCTCCCTTTCTACCTTTCAGATCCCATCTTGGACCTAGCTTCAAAGCCCAAGTTCTTTCCTCTGTCGCAGCAATAACAACATACTTCAACTTAAATTAATGATCATGAAATTAAAGAGTATTAATTGAAGAGATCTTAGATGTTTCTGGCCCAGTATCTTGCCATGCAGACATGAAAAATGATGGTCTATATTGAAAGGCACAAAACAAAGTAGCCACAAATTTAAAAAAAAAAAAGTCTCTCTAAAATATTTGAAAATGTCATAAGGTAAATGTATATAGTGTGTGTGTGTGTACGTGTGTGTGTGTCTGTGTGTGTGTGTCTGTGTGTCTGTGTGTGTCTGTATGTGTTTGTGTGTATAATACCCAAAATTATATATTTTTATTATCTAATGATAGTGTTTCAAAACTAATACAAAGACTTCTAGTTCGGACCAAGATGAAATAACCTATATTTATCTCTAAGTCCTTCTTATAACTAAAAACCCTGTGGAGTGGTAGTAATCTCAGCACTCAGGAAGCAAAGGCAGAAGGATTGTGAGTTCAAGGCCAGCCTGGACTACACAAGGAGACTTTGTCTAAAAAACAGTATCCCCCTCCCAAAAAAAGTGGACAAAACACATCAAGCAAGCATATAGGCAGATTCTAAAACTTGGAAATAAGGTGATCTACCTTGGGTCCTGAAAAACAGCACTGGTAAATTCTCTGGGTTTCCTTATTGCTATCTATAATTTTCAGACAGGATATTGAAAAAGCATTCAACTCAGAACCATTAACAGGTAAAGATAAAATAGGTATAAAGAAAAGCCGGGGGGGGGGGCGGTTTAGGCCAAAGGACAAAATAAATGTGGCCTAAAAAAACAGAAACTCTTTGGGGAAATGTCTGTTGTACTCCAAACAGTAATAGAACCTCTATTCCCAACAGTGACAACAGGGTGAACTGGGAGTTTAATTTCCATCTTCCACTTAGGAGAAATATTTACCCTGGTTTCCCTACCCAAGTATCAGCATGGCCTATGGTAAACCAAGCCTCCATCATATTCAGTACCAACAGCAAAGTGTGAAAGTAGAAGCAGTCAGTATTCTACTCTCTCCCTCATCCATGTCAGCAGGGCCCTGGAGAAGGCAGGGCTTCTGCTACAAAGCAGCTTCAGTGAGGCAGAAAAGCTAGAAGACAATTTCCCTGTTTCACTTTCCTGGTATTAGCAGGCCACAAGAGAGCTAAAACTTCTCCAGGCCTCCTTCCACTCCTCCATTCTGTAAAGTCAGTAGGGCCTTAACTGCGCTGAGCTTTCCTCACCATGAGGGGCCACCAACGTGGTACAAGTTGGTGCCCCATTTTCACTTGAAAAGTGTCAAAGAGTCCAAGAACAGTTTCAAAGACCTGGAAGACAATTAACAAAAGAGCTAATATCTGTGTCGTCACAGTCCTAGAAACAGAATATCAGATTGAAAAAACATTTGGAAAAACACTGGCTGAAAATACCCCAAATTTTATGAAAGAAATAAAACCAAATATTCAGATCATTAAGTGGATCCCAAGTAAGATAAACCGAAAGAACGTCAAACTAACATGCTAAATTAAACCTCTAAAAAAAAAAAAGAAACAAAGTCATAAACCTTTGAAAACTAAAAATGAAGGAAAAATCTTGAAAGCACTCAGACAAAAAGGGACATTACTATAAAGAAACGGTAATTCTATTGACAGCCAATTTCTCATTTAAAACAATAGAGGCCAGATGCAATAGCACATTTATAAAAGACTGAAAGAATGGTCAGTCAGTGGTGAATTTCATATCTTAAAATCTTTAGCAAAAATGTGAAATAAGCATTCTCAATTTCAATAGAAAACTAACATACCACAAGTAAAATTTTCCTTAAAGAATGACTAAAGGAAGTTCCAAAAGACAAATAAAATGATAAAATACTTGCAAATAAGCAAGTAAGCAGCGTTCCCCATGGTCTCTGCTTCAGTTCCTGCCTCCAGATTCCTATTTGAGGTCCTGCCCTGACTTCCCTCAATGATGGACTAAGACGTGGAAGTGTAAGCCAAATAAAGCCTTTCCTCCCCACTCCCCAATAATATTCACAGCTACAGAAAGGAAAGAATACTGAAGTAAGTAAAAATAGGGGTAGGAATAATTCATTATCCTCGTGCATTTCCTAGATCACCTTTAATAATGAAACAAAAATTATATAACCATCTGATGTGGAGGTCAATGTACAAGGAGAAAACACTTGAGAGTTAACCATGGGGTACATCAACACTGGTAGATTAATAACACAGTCTGGACAATAGAGTACCTAAAGTAAGAACTAAGAACACTAACAAATCAAAAACTGATAACACTATAAATAAGTCAACAGGAGTCATACAAATGTTTAATCCATATGAAGGAAATACAAAGCAGCAGAAAAACAGAACAAAATTTAAAAAAAGAAAATGAACAGATTTATCAACAATCTTAAATGTAAATGATCTATATTATATGAATTAAACATGACTAGAAAAGAACATTAAGAAAACAGAATTTAGCTATATACAGTCCTCCTTTTTCTACATTCCAAGACCTCCAGTGAATGCTGAGATCTATGCTTATACATAAGACTTTTTTTCTTCTTCTTTTTTTTTTTTGGTCTCATTCAGACGAGGTTTCCCTGTAGCCCCAGCTAGTCTGGAACTCACTACGTAGACCAGGCTGGCCTTGAATTCACAGAGAACTGCCGGCCTCTGCCTCCTGAGTGCTGGAATTAAAGGCATTTTTTCTTTTTAAAAATATTTTATTATTATTTCATGTGTATGAGTGTATTGCCTTCATGTGGGTAGGTGGACCTGTGTCCTGCAATGCTGGCAAGGTCGGAAGAGGACATTAGATCCCCTGGAACTGGAATAACAGATGGCTGTTAGCCACCATGTGGGTGCTGGGAATCAAATCCAAGTCCTCTGCAGGAGCAGCCAGTGCTCTTAACTGCTGAATCATCTCTCCAGCCCCAATATTGCTTTTTCTTATACACACACCCCTATGATAAAGGGATTTTTTTCCTTTATCGATTTTTCGATGATTTTTCCATCTTAAATAAGTGTCACAATCTGTGGCTCTAATTTTTGCAGTTTAAGATATGGCAGCAAAACTACTGTGATTTCTTTTTCTTCCTAACACTTTTATAAGCTAGACAGTTCACTCTTACAAGACTTTTAACAGCCTAGGCATGAGTCTTTTCTTAAGTTAGTGACATAAGGACAACAGCAAAATACCCAAACACATAAATGATTTTTTATGTAGTCAATATATAAAAAAGGACTTAAAAAACACACAATAAATGGAAATAAAAATAATACAAAATGTTTAGATTACAGAGGTTTGAAAGTAAAACAACTTCCTACCTTCTCACCCTCCCACCCTCTGGCAAAAACTGAAAATAAGATGAAAATAAGCCTGAAGCCAACCTTAATTATAAGTAAGGAAACAAGGCAAGCAGAACACAATGAAATTGAAGCCAGGTAAACAGAAAGGAAAGTAATGAAATAAAAACTCAATTCTCTGAAAACCATCAAAACTGATGAATCATTAGCAATACTGACAAATAAAAAAAACACAAACCACATCAGGAATGAAACAGAAACACCATCATAGTTCACACGGCCGTAAAAGTATGAGAAAGGACACTATCAAAAATGGACCAATTCCTAAAGGATGAACACAAGTTTATGCAAACAATTCAAGATGATAAAAGAGGAAGAAATATCTGTCAAGTTAGATTACTCTAACCCTTCCCACCCCCCCTCAAAAAAAAAATCACACAGACAAGATTAGGTGTACTTCAGGATCTGGAGTGGTATGGTCATAGAAAAAAAATCATACAGACAATATACAAAATTTCAAGTACCAAAATCTCTCAAAATGAAGAAATAATCTTTTAAAGAAAATATTAGCAAATCAAATAATGCATAAAAATTATAAACCATGAACAAGTGGAACATATTCCAGAAATCCTAAAATGGTACAGCATTCTTAAAAACCAAGGTTTATGATATATACCAGTAATCAGTAATTCCAGCACTTTGGCAAGAAAATCAGGAGCTCAAGGTCATCCTTGGCTACATGGTGAGTTCAAGGCCAATCTGGGCTACATAAGACCATATCTCAAAAAATAAATAAATAAAATCAGCAGACTACCAGAGTGCTTGTTCAGGCCTCCCTCTGGCATAGGGGCTGAGAACTCAGGGGACTGCCTTGAGAGCACTGTATCCTGTGCCCACGTGGTGGTGAGTTTTCCCAAATTGCTCTGCTCTGT